AGCCTCCAAGCTAAAACCTGGTTGCAATTACGGCAGCGCTGTTGTTATTGACTTTGGGTTGATTTATCTCACTGCAATCAATTCTCTGTTTTCTGCAGGAACAAGGGGAGTTGGCGTGGCTTGGACCAAGAAATACCATCATAACAAGTCCTAAGGAGCATCTGTAGCCACCCCAATTAGTCCAAATCTGGCAAGGTCAGGGCCTAGCAGTGGCTAATACAAAATCCACTTTATCCGCTTCTAGCCCCAAATTTGCTCTAGGAGCAGCAYGGGTATTTTTATCAGAGCTCCATGGAGAAGGTTATCCAGACCYCAAGTGACTGCACAGGGCTAACTTGGATCTTCTACCCTAATCCAGTTGAATCCACTGAAATAAGGCTGAGACTTGAGAGCGTTTCTTTCTGTCAAGTGAACAAAAAATACTGGGAACATGCCAATATATGAAAAAAATGAATAAAAATATGAAAAATATGAATAAAAAATATGGTTTAGACTTGCTTCATTAATACGGAAATGTAGCCCAGTGATTGCACTCACATTTTCTAGGTGGATTTGAAGAAACTTAACTGATTCATTGTGGCTAAAGGAAGAAAACACAGAATGCACAACRACAGCATTCTGTTTTTTTTTCCTGTTCTCGCTTTCTAGATATTAACTGCTTTTTTGGTTCTCATCATCTACATCCTCCATCTCAGAGGAGTCTTCAGTTRAAGAGGACCAAGATTGGTCAATGATGACTTTTAAGAAAGTAAAAGAAATGAGAAACTTGTCACTAGCAGCCACAGGCTGAATTTTCTGAATTGCTTAACCAACAGAATTTCCACTTCTCGAGATTTTACTCGATGGCTTGATACCTTTTCATGCTATTAAGAATCTTTATCTTCATTTCATTCCATTACTCTTACACACCCCTAAGCACTCTCTTCCTTTTAAAACTCTTTAACATCTTTTTTTTTTTTTTTTTTCCTCTCTCAGCTGGGATAAGGACACAAACTGCAGCAACACTTGGGGATTGGCAGTTTGCCTTTTATAAGCAGCATATATTGCATTCAAAATACCTATTTATTTTATAAATCCTAAGTCTAAGAGCTTCGGTGCTGAATGCAACTATATTCAGCAATACTTACATGTATCAAAATGCATCAAGACTGGCATATTTAAATGTTGTGCAACAGGAGGCAAAAACTTGATTATAATAACCTCAGATAATATAAAAAATACATGGTGCTTTCTGCTGAGTTAAAGCCCTGCCCTTTGTATTTTGGAAGCCTGCAGCATTACAATAGTGGATGTAAAAAAATAAACTTGCTGCGAAGAAAGCATGTTGGGCACTTGAAACCAGGAGACGGGAGTAAGGCAAATGATTCAAGTTACAGCTACCCTCATCATGATCCCTAAATGCCAATGAAATCAGGAATTTCCTTACCTGGACAAACATTGTTCTTATTTTTCTTAATACAATCATTAATGAAGGCTTAATAAATAAGAACGACTTATATATTTTTTATAAACAACTTAAACCATCTATTTTGGGGATATCAGCAGGGGCAAGGATAAAGGCATGCAAGCTGTAAAGAATAAATGGTATCTTTTCAGTTCTTAGAGAGAGGCCATCCCCAAAAAACGTGGCTGCGTGACTCAAAGAGGTAACGTAACAGTGGTTGTGAGTCACTAAAGTGGTTTAGACTTCAAATACTGCCTTGCAAATAAACTTTAAACTTTTAATAACAAGAAACTTGCATAAATATACCATTATACATAAACAGTAAGTCCAGAAAAAAATAAAGACATACTAAATTTTACCCTGTGAAATACAACCAGTTCATTTCCAAAGGTATATTAAAGGGGATTGAGATACGATTGACCTTAAAAACAGTGAAGAAAAAAAGCAATTAAAAAAAAAATGAAGACACATGATTCATTTAAAAATAATTTATTTGGTGGAGATAGATCCCCCATACAACACTTAATACACACAAACCCCACGAAATATGAAAGGAGTATGGATAGATACACTTGGAGATGTATTGTGAATAACACTTTAATAATTAACCAGGAATATTATTAAAAAGCTAAATTACCAGTATACAGATTATATATGCACATTTCAAAGGCTACTCAGCAGAAAAAAACCAAAAAGTTAGAGAAATTTCTGTATATTTTATAAGTTTCAAAAGCTATTTTTTTGCAAGTGCTTACCAAGTAGTAATACTTATTGATTTTCTTTAAAAAATACATTTTAATAATATTRCTGGATTTTGAAAATAATTAAGTGAAATCTCCAGCATGCAAGTATCATTTTGAAATTCATCCCTCCCTCAAGAAAAGCGCTGTTGAGCAAGCCTGAATGAGTTAATTTCATGCATTAATTATTATATTGCTTTAGTAGGCAAACTCAGATGCATCCACACACATTTAGGAAATAACTGACTTAAGATGTATGTACAGGGATTTGAATAATTGTCTACCAAAGGGAGCTTTGGACAGAATTTAGGAAATGTGCCATGGCTAATTTCTTCTTAATCATTATATTCTTCTTCTTTTGCATGCTCAATATCCTAAGGACTACCTGCATGTGTTTCCCTTTTTGTGAATCAATTTGGAGGGAAAGCGAGGAATTTAATCTTAGGCAAAATAATTTTCTCATTGGGCAAAATAATTTTACCATTATACGAAGGTGAAAAAGGGTATTTTCATGATAAAACAGCTTTTAAAAGTGCTTTCTTAATTTTATCTACCACCTCAAAACTCAGCAGCTTCATATTAACGCTGTCTTGCCATGCTCATAACTCATTACTCTAATCAAAAGAGAACCTGCTCTTTCCTCTCTGCATTGTCTTGGGTCAGCATGAAAGTTATACAATCTGCAGAGCAACCTGGAGGACAGAATTATCTGAATTAAAACTGATTTACCAAAAACAAATGACTATATTAAAAAAAAAAAAAAAAAAAAAGGTTAGTTCTGATCTGATCGGCTCCCTTACACAATTCATTACGTATCTATATGAACACTGGTTATTGCCTAGGGAAGTGGGAGCAGTTAGCAGCTGCAGCTAAACCAGTTTTTAGCATTGCCCTAGGCAATGTTAAATTGCCTAAGTCAATCTACAGTGTAAGATTCGGATCACTTCTGAATTATGTCTATTTTTCCTCAGTAGATGAGAAGATATAATAGAAAAAATTATCTTAGGTGTTATACCTACAATACTAAGGCTCTCACACTGCTTGAATTTCTTTGATAGGAGGAATTATTCAGCAGGATGTTCAGGAGGAACCATCCAACAGACAGTAAAGGGACTGTGTAATATCTGATAACTGTTCTATGCACAGAGAACCTAGAAATCTCTCCATTTTTGACTGCTATGTGCCACCACAATGGAAAAATGCAAATGCAGCATGGTGATGAATATAAATTTAGCCCTTAAAATACATTAAGTATTAATGTATCACGTATCACTTAACTAATCACTTRATACGTTAAGTATTTTAAGCGATCAGAGCAATTAAATATTCAGCTCATATGGGAAATGTACTGTCCACTGCATCACAAAAATTAAGAATCAGCACCAAATGATTAAATTACTTCAGTGAAATGTAACTGAAATTACTTCAGTGAGACATGCTTTTGTGAAATTAGCCAAAACAAATCAGGTGAGTTTTTTTTTACATTATGCACTTTTTGAAAAAAACTTATAGTTTGCCCATATCATATATTTGGATTATGCTTCCAAATGCCCTGCAAATCTCCTTGTTACCTTTTTCTTTCTTAATGTGACATTARTTATTTCAAAGCTGAATTATTAAATTATAAAATCACAACACTATAGTACCTGGAACAATCCTTGTCTGCCATCAGATTTTATATATTTCAGTTTCTGCTCCTGTTACCTGTCGGTATTTTTCTTATTATAACTATTTTTTTTTTATGAGTTACTTTGTTTTTAGCTTATGTGAGAACTGGTGAACTCTTCACATGAGTTATACTTCCTGTTTTTGTTACCTTATCACTCAAAGCACGCATAGCCAGTTCTTAATTTGTCTCATTATCTGGCTTGTGGATTAACAACATGTTCTAAAATGCAAAACAAAAGATATAGAAGGTTATGACYTCATTCCACAACTTAAGTTCATAGACTGTAGTTAAGTTCAAAGACTGTACATAGTCAATATAACACAGTTGCAGAACATTTGTCRTACAGTCTGTAGTATTTATATTTCTGGTTAGCAGCTCGTTTACCTATTATGATGCATGAATGTTCTGTTTGATTTTTAATTACGGGACTTGTTAAGGTTTCAGGGGTAGCTGGATGCAAACACCCACCTAGGCTGACACAGGCTGTTCAGTTCAACCCAAGGACTAGAAACAACCGCAGCAGGAACCACCAGGACRACTGTCCCTTGCCGAYTSACACCCACACCTCAATATAGAACCATAGCTATAATCACTCAGAAAACCCACTTTAGCATTGCTTTGGGCAAGCTGAACCGCAGGATGCAGCACTTAAATTCCCTAGTCCGTATTATTGGCATGGAATGAAATTATTTGTAACTCTAGTGTTTTATTTTTTCCCATTCTTCCCCAGGGAGACCAGAGCTGGCTCTTTTCTTAGAGCACAGCAAACTCACAATGGAAGATGAGGAGCATTAATTACGACGTTTTTAAAAATTTTTGTGCCCTCGGGGGGACTATCGGGCCACCCTGGGTAGATAGGGCCACCTGTTGCCCCAGCCCCCCTCCGCGCATGCGCAGACCGCGGTACTGCCTTCCCTTCCCCACGCGCAGGCGCAAAGGCGAGGGGGCGGGGGAGGAGTACGCGCAGGCCGCATGCGCGCTGCGCATCCGGGCTCCGCCGGCGGGAAGCGGTGCATTGTGGGAAGGAGGCGGCCCTCGCCGCGGCGGACGGCGGCGGTGAATCCTCCCGGCCGCTCACAGCAGTGTGGAGCCGCTGCCCCCCCCACCGCCCGCCTCCCCCCTTCCTCCTCCACCACTCTCCTCTTCCTCCTCCACCCCACATACCACCCCCCCCTCCTCCCCCCAATACCCCCACCGGATTTAAAGGGGCAGAGCGGCGGCAACGCCTAAGGGGGGCTGCGGTGGCGGGGGGAGGGGGTACCCGCCATGCCGAACTTCTGCGCGGCCCCCAACTGCACCCGCAAGAGCACCCAGTCCGACCTGGCCTTCTTCCGCTTCCCGCGGGACCCGGTCAGGTGAGCGCCGCGCGGGCGGGGGGGCGCGCACGGCGGCCGAGGGGGTCGGTCGGGGCCTGGTCGCTCCGCTCGGGACCCGCGGCGGCGCCTCCCGGTTTCTCCGTCACGGAGCCGCCGCGGGGGCCGCGCTGCGGGACACTGCGGGCCGCGGCAGGAGGCGGGCGGGCCCTGCGCATGCGCAGCCAGGACAGCGCCCCCCCCCCCCCGGGGGGGGGATTGACAGGGAGGGAGTAATTGGGTGGGGGGAGGCCAAAGAGATTTGAGGGGTCATACTAGGGGGGAGGCTGGTCCTGGAAGGTGTGTGATGGTGATGGAGTGGAGGGGGGTCCTGAAAGGTGTGCAGTGATGATAGGGGCTGTATGAGAGCTGGGGAGGGTCTGTGGGGGGCGCATGGCCCAGGGAGGTGTGAGGTGATGATGGGGGGGGGCATTAACATGTGGGGTGTCAGCCAGGGGTGCAAGAGGGGTGAGGGGAAGAGGGCCACGTGTGACAGGGGGACACATAGGGTATATTGTGCCTGTGATATCAGGCACAAAAACCTCATAATGGTGCAAACCTCGCCTTCAAATTGCTCTTTTCTGAATATATTTTCACACGCTCCTGAGTGAATATAATGATTTTCCTAAAAAACGTGTTTAACAGTGCACGTACACTGCAAAGTTGTCTAGTTTAACCCCTGTTAGATATAGTTGTGCATTTAACAAAAGCAGTCATCAAAATTGTTGCTTGCCTGCTCTCTTAATTTAGGAWTAACCCAAAGAATTCCTCTCTCAATCCTCTGTCGTTTTCAAGCTGCAGGTTCTTGCACGGCCAAAGAAAGGGCTGCAGATTGTGCAGGATCAAAGAATTTTGGTGCTATCCAGATTTCATACTTAATTTCTTGGGATTTCTTGTTGTAAAGCTTGACTCATGTGAAGCTGAGCAAATGTGATTATAGTTTATTGTTTGAAGAAAATAGCCCCTTCAATTTATTTATTTTTTTTCTCCTATTGAAAGACATTTTGAATTAAAGTTTTTCATGTTAGCATTACAGAAATACACCTAAAAATATGCAGGTATCCAAACAATTGCCAGTGATTTAAAGATTTGTATTATTTTATTGTATTTCCGAGTCATAATGATACCATTCTTTATGGAAGTCCTTTATTTTTAGTATCTTATAAAGGCATTAAAAACCTAATAAAAAAAACAATTCATGTAAGTCCCTATCAGTTTAATAATATAAACTGAAAAACAAACATCCATAAAAGTCACTGGACTGAAGGAATATTTGTGAGTTTATATTTCTGCAGCAACACTGGCTTGGGTAGGCTTGCTTTCTGTATCCATGTTTTGCATATTCTCCATGAAATAATTCAGATTAATACTACTGTGAGAGAATCAGATAAAATAACAATAACATCTTGAAGGACCACTTGTTCATTTACACAGTACAAAAGGAAAGATGACTTACACTTAAGCTATTAGTTTCAATGACAAAGACCTCTCAGCAGCCCCTTTACTCTTGCAGTGTTCTTATTCTTGTTTTTTCTCTCCTTAGAATCATAGAATGCCGAAGGTTGGAAGGGACCTCAGAGGTCATCTAGTCCAAACCCCCTGCTCACGCAGGGTGACCTAGAGCATGTGGCACAGGGCTGCTTCCAAGCAGGTTTTAAAGACCTCCAAAGAAGGAGACTCCACAACCTCTCTGGGCAGCCTGTTCCAGGGTTCTGTCACCCTCACAGTGAAGAAATGCTTCCTTAAGTTCCTGTGGAACTTCCGATGCTTCAGTTTGAAGCCATTTCCTCTAGTCCTATCGCTGTCCACCACTGAAAAGAGGCCGCCCCCCTCCTCCTCACTGCCTCCC